TGAGGGTGGGAAAGGGGGGTATACTGGGGATAGTGGTGGTGGGGAATGTACACTGGTGGAGGAATGGGTGTTTGATCATTGTGTGATTGTAACCCAAACATGAAAGCTTATAACTATCGCACAGTGATTCAATAAAATTTTTTTTAAAAATGGTTGATTAGACTGAAAAAGAGATCAAATGTGGCTCTTTAGTTATCTAGATGAGAGATTTTCCCCCAAAGTGGGATTTGTAACATATAACTTTTCTGGGTCATAAGCCATCTCTCAATCCCATAGAAACTTCTCATACGTTTAAAGATCCATCCTGGTCCAATTAGCTGAAACAATCAAATCAGCTTTCTAAGTAGTAAGTAGGTTTCAAAAGTGCCAGTAATCTCCACAGCTGGAATTTAATATTTAGACTTGATAAGAAAAACTAAAGAAGACTGAGACTTACATAATTTTCCCATCACATTTGAAAATATACATAAAAATTTCTCTTACCTCCGTGTGAACATGGTTTAACCCAGTTTGCAGGTAGCTCTTAAAATGTTGTTTTTTGGGCCAAACCGGGCAATGTCCAGGGCTTACTCCTGGCTCTGCACTCAGGGATGACCCCTGGTGGGGACTTGGAAGGTCATTTTGCTGTTAGGGACCAAACCTGGGTTGGCCATGTACAAAGCAAGGGCCCTAAAATATTCAAGTAGATAACATGAAGTGCCAAAAATAATTAAGTTAATATATATGATATAGCCAGAACTAAAGTTAGACATGGGGAGTGGCTAAGTGATGCTCACAAGATCCAGGATCCAGAGGCCCTGATGAGCAATTCTTGGCCAGTGAGGCTGTCAGGTTCAGCTCAAGGGCCTGAGGCTGAGTTGCTACTTGGACCCTGCAGTTTTGGGAATACCTGATGGATACCTTACTGTAAATTTATTATTTCCTGCCATTCCTCAATGACTTGCTGAATGATCAACATTGTATTTTCAGATCGAATCAGAAACTGCAGCATCTGAAGAAACGCTGTTAAATGCCTCCCAGCGCATCAGCGAGCTAGAGAGAAATGTGGAAGAACTTAAGCGGAAGGCTGCTCAGAACTCTGGGGAGGCAGAATATATTGAAAAAGTAGTATATACTGTGAAGCAAAGTGCAGATGATGCGAAGAAGGTAACTATAGTTTCAGTTATGTCGATTAAAGGAGCAGTTAATCTCCTTGCTTTCCTTGGGCACATCCCTTATGATGGGATCTAGCATAATGACTCATCAGAAATGTCCCAAATGATCCGATTTGAAGTATTAAGTAGCAACCTTTCGATTCACTGATGGAAAATAATGGGAATGGAAGAAGACATGAAAGCATGTGGGAGAGTTAACCTGGCTCTCAAATCCAACCTTGGCTATGAGTTTAGAAAAAATTAAATTCATGTAGGTTGGCAGTCTCAAAGCAAGCAAGAGCTGGCATTTCTGTATTTCAGTTAGGAAGATGTTTAAAGCATACAGTTCTTAAAAGCAGGGTAGAAAAAGCTTACAGAGTTCATCTCCCACCCTCATTTTTAAATTAACTACCCCCTGGCTTCTGACTGGAACACATTATACTGTAAAGAGAAAAACCTTAAGATTTCACCAATTTAAACTAGAAGAAATAATTTAAACCACACATGCAGTTTCTGAATTTGTGTGTGCAAATATTTATCTCCAAAGAGACCCTCTTAAGTTTATTGAATGAAAAATAGGGAGTAGACATTGAATTGTTAGTTTCCCCCCCACCCACCCACCAAAAGAAAGACCCCCCCATGTTACTGTAACTTTGAATACACTACTCAAGTGTGGCTTCCCTGGGCTCTGGATTGGGGGGTGGCGGGGGGGGGGGGCACTAAAGTTCACTGCCGTGTCTTTTTCCCAAGGGTTTTGAATATGTATCTCCCAGGTATTCTTACAGAGCACTCTGCAAAATAGGACATTACAGAAACAAAAACCCCTCAGCATGAACTTCATACAACAGTGGTTAAGCAGGTTTCCTCAACTTGAGAATCAGTTGTAGCTATTATTCCAAACTTTCCACATGTCTTATGACAGTCTCACCTTTTTGCACTGGATATCCAGTATTGTTCTACCAACCCTAAATTAGGCAAGGTCTAGATTGGCCTTCTCTTTCTTTAAAATGGTACTTTCTCCCACCTGTATATTTTTAGATCTCAAAACATCTGCATTTGAGAAAAGCTATTTCTTAGAAACTCTTTACAGAAAAGTGCCCCTCTTAGGCACTGGCCCAAGAATGTCTTAAATCTTTCATTTTTGAAAGTCATGTCAGTGCTGGGTTTAATAGTTTCACCCAGAAGTTTTATTCATCACTGATTAGCTTGAAGCCCTAGAAGTGGCACTGTACCCAAAAACCCACATTACATAAATTAACCACTATGACCCAAGCTTGCCATAAATAAACTACTGCTCTGGCTCTTAACATTATTACTTCTTTGGGTCAAATTTTGAACTGCAGTCTCTGGACGGTGAACTTGATGAAAAGTATAAGAAAGCAGAAGATTTAATTGCCAAAAAATCAGAAGAGTCGGCTGATGCCAGAAGGAAGGCTGAAATGCTGCAGAATGAAGCAAAGACTCTTCTGGCTCAAGCAAACAGCAAGCTACAACTGCTGCAAGGTAATGCCGCTCACCAAAGTTCATGTCTACACAATCTATTCATGTCTTGGGCATTTAAATGCGACTTTTTAGGCAAGAAGGACTTGAATTAATTTCGAGATCAAAATACCTATTTCACACTTTTGTTTTTATCGCCTACAGATTTAGAAAAAAAATACGAGGACAATCAAAAATATTTAGAAGATAAAGCTCAAGAATTAGTAAGATTGGAAGGAGAAGTTCGCACACTCCTGAAGGATATAAGCCAGAAAGTCGCCGTTTACAGCACCTGCTTATAACAAAGGAAGAAGGCTGTAAAGTGACTGAGGTGACCAAAGTAAAACTGCTACATTTTAATTATTGACTTAGTGGTTTTCAAATAAAACCCATTACCTATTTAATATTTTTAATCACATTTTGTACGGAGTTAAATAAAGTACAGTGCTTTTGTAAAAATAAAATTTAGCAGAAGTGTTTTTGTTACTCTTACTTTAGTGTTTATTGAGTCACTGTTTTCTCTTAAAGATGGATTTATAAGTGAGCTATTCCCTACATCATGAACCTAGTTTCTGTTACCTCTATAAACAACCTACTTTTTTCACCTGTGTGAGAGGTCAGTATCCTTTAAAACAGCCCAAAAACCACAAGGAAATTCTCAAAGAGAGTTTGAGAAGAAGAGATAGCTTAAGTTACCTTCATCCAAGTAAGTAAAGGCCCTCCCGTTGGTCGTCGATTTGCTCGAGCGGGCCCAGTAACGTCTCCATTGGAGACTTTGTTGTTACTGTGTCTGGCATATCGAATACTCTCGGTAGCTTGCCAGGCTCTCCGAGAGGGGCGGAGGAATCGAACTCGGGTCGGCCATGTTGGCTGCGTGCAAGGCAGACGCCCTACCCGCTATGCTATCGCTCCAGGATGTGAGGGCGATCTGGCTGCGACATCTGTCACCCCATTGATCGCCAGGGTTGATTCGGCTGATCTGGCTGGCTAGGCGGGTGTCCCCTTCCTCCCTCACCGCTCCATGTGCGTCCCTCCCGAAGCTGCGCGCTCGGTCGAAGAGGACGGCCTTCCCCGATAGAGACGGACCGGTCTTCGGTCGAGGGTATACGAGTAGCTGCGCTCCCCTGCTAGAACCTCCAAACCTTCATCCAAAACTCCCATAAATATTCCTTGCTCTGAGAACAAACAAAAAGCAATTTCTAATAGGGAAAATTATGGCTTTTAGTATTACTGCTTAGAACAGGGCTGCTGGGAGCCAGGAGATGGGAGTTTCAATTAAGCAGGCCAGAGTTTATGGACATTTTCCTTGCCAACCAAGCAGAACTACTCAAAGAGCGGAATGCTGCTGTAATTTCTGTTTTCATATTGGACTTTATTTCATTATGTAAGATCTTATTGTGATCTGTAGGTGAGGGAAAAAACAACATAGAACAATCCCCTATCCCATAAGAAAAGGAAAGCTAGGCCCCAGTGGTTTCTTCACAGTCATCTTAAAAGCTTGATTATACCAGTTAACAACCTCCCACACATCCAACACAGCTGTATTTGAATATAGGCCTGGACAAGTTATGTATACAGCTGGAATTAAAACAATAAGGCAAAATTATCCTCTGGTCCAAGGCAATTGTCCCTTTTTCAGTAGGAACACTAAGAACTAGCACCATAGTTACTATAGCAATTAAATTTTTCCCTGTTCAATATAAGTAGAAACTTTCACTGTGCCTTATTTCTTTTCAGCTAAAGAACTAAAGATCCCACTTTGAAATTATTAACTTTAATCAGCCCCATCATTCATGAGCCAATAGTTACATAAGCTTTGTACCTAGGACTTCATTCCCACCCAGAATTTGCATTCTCACACTGAATAGATTTCATTATTCCCTAGTTAAACTTTTCCCCTAAAGTAGGAGACATGTTCAAGATTTAAATAAAGCAGCACTTAAAACTTGGCTATTTTTAAATGCAGGACTGAATTCCAATGGGCAAGTAGCACACATTAGGTCAACTTCATGCTAACGAGTGCAAACTGAACAAATATGTACAATTTTTCAAAGTAAAGGGACTGGAGAACCACCAAAAGGCAGAAATGTGTTCACTTTAAACATTCATTTATAAATACAATCCTATACACTCTTGAAGTAGTCGTTTACCCTGCAAAAGATACAATGGAAATCCACAAGTTAAAGATTTCCTTATACAGTTTCTCCAATGTATATGCTAAAAATTTAGTAGCTATTACTGCAGTATATCAAAGGGTAAATGACCTTTTAGATGCCTTAATATTACTCCACAATGTAGAAAAGACATTGGCCTATAAGAGCAATAAATAAGAATACACAGTCTAAGTCATAAGGAAACTAGAACCATCATCCATTCATAACTAGTAAATGAATATTTAAGACATGTTTATTTCCATAGTTCATTCCCCATTGTAACATATTTGAGTATTCATCGATTTGAATTTCATAGATACTTGTATAACTACTGACTATAGAAACCTTAAAAATCAAAATACTATTTCTACTTTCATTTATTCACCCAATTCTTGCAGTTCAGAACAAATGAGACCATTTTTATTTACATCAGTTCAGTTTATACATATCTGGATCTTTGTTTCCAATATGAAAACCAAGTTTTAAATAATACAATCACCTTGATTCAAGCACAGCTGTTTACAAACCATTCTCCAGTTCCATCCACGTAAATCCAACTATTATATCAGATAAAGGTTTACTTAACATAAATTCAGTGAAATTGAGCTGATCATAAGCAGCATGAAAATATGGGGTGATGAAATTTTCAGAATGCTACTGCAAGTAGCATTTTCCTGCATTATATTAAAGTACTGAAAAAAATATTTAAATTTATTTAAAATATAGATATGAGATTATCCCATTCTGTCCAAGCCTATTATACGCCTTCGAACGGTTTTATAATTCAGTCCTGGAAATTCTTGAAGCTGTTAGCATTTCCTGTTCAGAAACATCACATCTATAAAAGCTAACAGGAAATTTCAAAAAAATATAGTCTTCTACTAATTTTAAAAGTTGATTGGTTTGCCAAATGATGCAGCCAGATTTGCTTCTCTGAAAGCCTCTGATAATGTCTGCAAAGAAAGACAAGAAGAATTAATGAAGAAGTGTGTATAGGTCAGAAGAAAATTTAAATATGACATCTGTGTGTACAGTGAATAATTACCGGATGCGCATGACAGACTCTAGCTATATCTTCACAGGATGCTCCATATTCCAAAGCAAGAGCAGCTTCATTCACCATTTCACCAGCACCCTTTAATAAATTGAGAAGTGACTTTTGTTTCCTTTGTGACAACAACTCTATTCTCATAAGTGAGCAGTAAAATGGATTAATTGCCTCCTGACATGAAAAGCATAACAGGTGGCACAGAAGTTGCAGAATCTGGACTTCCAAGCCAGATGGCCTAGAGTCAAACCACCCATTGACTACCTCAACCACTCAGTATCGGTTTCATTCAGTTTTTTCAGGTAAGAATAGGAACACCTTTATCTAACCATATAAAACTTAAAAGTAAATGCATGCAATTAGGGAAAAAAAGCACTCCAAAATTATTATCTCTATACTATTACCACTATTATTAGTATTACTGAGTTGTAATTTTACACTATTACCACTACTGTTATGATACCTAGGGGAAAGACATGCTTAGATTTAGTGATAAGAAAGCCTTCTTTAAAGGTGACATTTGAGCTGACGCCTAAAAAAAACATGAAGTCAATCATGCAAAGATCTGGAAGTAGAGCATTCTAGGCAGAGGATAATTGAAACATCTGGCTTGTTGCGAAAAAAAGGGGGGGGAGGCAGAAAACAGGGCAAAATTTGAAGCGGCCTGCCTGTATGTAACAGCTGGAACTTGAAAAGTTCTATTGGGAGTTTATAAAGGCAGAGAAGACCCAACAACTGTTATAGAAAAGACCCAGCAACTGTTATAAAAGATATCTTACTTGCAGTATACAAAGTATACTGCAGGACTGAATTCCAAGGAGCAAGTAGCATACACTAGGTCAATGTCATGCTAAGAAGTGCAAACTCTGAACAATTGCATACATTTTTTCAAAGTATTGGGGGGCAAAATTGGGTGTGAGTGCTGTGGATACCTCGCTAGAAACAATGTACAACAGCAATGCTTTTCAGAAATCACTAGGTGATTTCGGGGTCATACTCACCGGTCCTAGAATATGTGCTCCCAATACTCTGTCTGTTGATTTCTGCCCAAGGATCTTCACCATGCCATCTGTGTCAGCATTGGTCTTAGCTCTACTATTAGCAGCAAAAGGGAATTTTCCAACTTTGTACTCAATACCCTGTAATGAGAGATAGAAAGCTATGAGAAGTATCATTCCCACTGGTGAAATCATGTTCCAATTGTTTAGAAAAAAAAAATCTGAAGGCAATTCTTCTCAGATCATACAGAAAACCCAAAGTTTTGCTAATGCAATATATTGGGGACATAAAAAATAAGAAAACGGGCCAGTCAGCAGCTAGTTGCCTTGCTTGTGGCTAATCAGGGTTCAATCCCCATAACCCCATATGGTCACCCAGCACAGCCAGGACTGATCCTTGAGTAGAGACAGGAGTAAGCCCTGAACTCAGATGGATATGGCCCCAAAACCTAAAAGAAAGGGAAAAAAAAATAGAAATATCGATCCACCTGCATATATGTCATTTCTCTGTGTTTTGGGCCATGCCTGGCTATATCGTGGATTCACTAGTAGCTCTGCATTCAGGAGTCATTCTTGGGTCAGCCACATGCAAGGAAAGCACCCTGCCTGCTGTATTATCTCTCTGGGACCCACCTGGATATATTTCAGAGCCAAATAAAAAAATATGGAACGAGTTAACAGTTTCTGAATATCGGTAAGAAAATGATCTCCTTTAGGATACAATGGGAAAAATACATGGGGGAATTAAAAAAAAAGATAACGTTCTTTCCATATAGTTACTAAAATGCATCAATGCATCAATAGAATGATTCTCTGCCACCAGTCACCAGTGTCATTAGCCTCACTCAGGAGTGTACAACTGAATTACGACTGCATCCACCCTGTGCCCCTTTGGAATTACCTCTTCTTTCAACTGTTCTTCTGACTTGCCAACCCAAGCAACTTCAGGGTGTGTGTAAATCACTGATGGCACACAATTGTAATCAATGTGCACGGCTCCACCAGCCATTCCTTCCACACAGATAATGCCTTCATCCTCTGCTTTGTGAGCCAGCATTGGGCCGGCAACCACATCACCGATAGCATAGATACTACAGAGACCAAAAGAAACACAGTGAACTTTTGTAATCACAAATACATTCATCTTCGGTCATGCCATGATAACACTAAAAGTCATAGTTAATGAAATACCAAAAAATAGGGAATACCATTAGACCCAACAATACCACTTCTGGGAATACACCCTAGGGACCCAAAAACACACAGCAGAAACAGCATCTGCACTTATATGTTCATTGCAGCACCATTCACAGTAGACAGAATCTGGAAACAACCTGAGTGCCCCGAAACAGATGTATGGATGAACTATGGCACATCTACACAATGGAATACTACACAACTATTAGGAAAGATAAGGTCATAAAATATGCTTATAAATGGGTGGATTTGGAAAGCATCATGCTGAGTGAAATGAGTCGGAAGGAGAAGGACAGATAGAAACAGTATAAGGCCAGGAAAAATGGACCAGGACAGCTGGTCAATGGTTGATCACTGGTGTGGGAGATGGAGGGTTGTTAAGAAAGTTGCCTGCCACAGAGGCAGGCTGGGGTGGGGTGGGGGTGGAGGTGACTTGAAGGGGTGGGAGGGAAACCGGGGACACCGATGCCGGGAAATTACACTGGTAGAGGGATGGGTGCTGGAACATTGCATGACTGAAATACAATCCCAAATTTTGTTATGCTCTGTTTCACAGTGATTCAATAATAAAAAAATTTTTTTAAAAAATAGGTGAGTCCAAGTTGTAGTTTCTCAGGAATGAAAAAATTTTCACTTTCAATTTTACATGAGTTTACTGCTCTTCCCTGAAGATGATGCGTCTTTTAAGCATAACAAGTTTGCTTTTTTTTTTTTTCACTAAGGGTGTCTGAAATCAATTCTAAAAGTACTGAAAATATAGGTGACTATTTAAACTTACTTTGGAATTTTGGTTTGGAATCTTGAATTGACTGGAATTCTACCTCGAGGATCTAGTTCAATTCCTAGTGCTTCTAAGCCCAAATTCTGAGTAAAAGGTCGTCGGCCAATGCAAACCAAGAGTACATCACAGGTGATGACTTCAGACTTATCCCCAGAAGCAGATTCAATACTAGACAAAACACAGTATACAGATAATCTGTTATATACACCTTTATGAGTTGAAAATTTAAGACTACATATTTCTCAGGTACTGGTAATGCTTCCAATAGTGCCAATCCACCATAAATATAACAAACACAAAGTCAGGGAGGGACAAAATAACAAGATCCTATTAAATCCTAAAAACCAAGTAGTACGGCATGAATTAGACAGACCCTGGCCTGGAGAGACAGCTCAACAGGCTGACTGCATACAGTACAAGCAGGGCGTCCAGGACTGAGCCCCTGCACACTGATACGAATTGTCTAAACAGCAACAAACAAACAAAAATCACAAAAAAAAAATATAGATCTTAATGACCTTAGAGTCAAGAAAAAAACAAGTTCAAGCACTGCCTCTTCTAAATACCAGGCATTTGGCATTGGGAAAATTATTATTTGACTTTGGGAAAATTATTGTATTCAGTTAGACAATTATGTAATAGAGTGCCAGGTGTAATCATATGCAATCTAACTGAAATTTATTATTTTTTATTTTTCCAGATCTACCGAAAAATTATACTGAGTGTTGATAATTAAAAACTTTCTGGATATAGGGGCTGGAGTACAGCAGGTAAGGCACTGCCTTCCACGTGGCTGACCCAGGTTCAATCCCTGGCATCCCACATGGTCTCCCAAACCCTGCCAGATGGATTTCTAAGTGCAGAGCCAGGAGTAAGCTCTGAGTACCACCAGGTATGACCCAAAAACTTAAAAAAAAAAAAAAAGAAACAACCCACAAATCCAATTCCGGAATAGATATTATAAAGAAGGCCATAATATTTAGAAAATGGGTGAACTTTTCTATCATTCTCTTCATCATGAATTTCAATGAATTAAACTCAATTAAATTTGAGTTACACTAAGCAATAAAATGATCCCAATTTACAAAAAATCTCCAAACAGGTATTTGCTAGTTCTTTCTCAAGGAAACATAAAAAATAAATATAGCATAACTTACGAAACATCTATTTTTCCATCCGACTTCTTGGTAGCACCAGTCACCTTTGTATTCAGCTTAAATTTAAATCCCTGTTTCTGAAGGATTCGTTGAAAATTTTTAGATATCTCCATATCAATTCCAATTCCACCAACATGACCCAAAAACTCAACAGCTGTCACATCTGCACCTAGTCTCTGCCAAACTGAACCCTGCAAATAGATTTAAAACCAATAATCATAAAAATGAATAATTTTATAGCAAAGGTTTACTAAATTCAGTAGCTGATTGTGAAGAGATTTTCTTTCAGTAACATTGTTATTAGCAGCTCTGAAGTTTAAAAAGAGCATTGTGGAACATATACATAAATTCCATCTATCTACTCACTCACTCATTGAACATTTAATGTCTATCTACCATTCTGGGTGCTACATTCAGCCATTAGCCAATGAAACACTGCCCTCACGGATCTTATATTCTGGCTGGTGAGACAAATTAATAAAATTCATGCTGAGGACAATAAAACGCTTTGAAAAAATTAGAGCAAGGAGTAAGAGGAGTCAGAACGATGGAAATGAGAGTGACTACAATCTTAAATATTGTAGTCAGGGGAAGGCCTCAATTGGAAAAGCATTTTCAGATAAGATTTAAAAAGAAGAACTCTAGAAGTAAAAAAGATTGGTCCAGGAAAAAGCAGATGGAAAAGAAATGAGGGTAAAGAGCAGATTGCTAATGATGGTTTGCAAAATATTAAAATGGCTACAAATATTATTTCCCTTCAAGAAAAATATGCCAATGTTTTAATTCAAGCAGTAATTTAAAGTAAATACCGGTTGTAACAAATTAATTTCTACCTCTTAAAAAATTTTTTTATCACAAACAGCAGTTCTCAGGGGTCATTTCTTATTATTTAATTGCTCATTTTATATAAATTTTATGCACTATTTAATTACATATTATCTTACTTAACATGTCATTTTATTCTTAAAGCTTTTATTTATTTGTTTTTTTGCTTTTTTGGGTCACACCTGGTGATGCACAGGGGTTACTCCTGGTTCTGCACTCAGGAATCACCCCTGGTGGTTGCCAGGGGACTATATGGGATACTGGAAATCAAACCCAGGTTGGCCGCATGCAAGGCAAATGCCCTCCCACTGTGCTATTGCTCCAGCCCCTATTCTAAAAGCTTTTAAATTCATTTGGTTCTTTTTCCAGGCTACTGCTTAAAAACACTGTAATTCAATGGAATGTGTTTTTACTGTCATGGGTTGTTTTTTGTTTTGTGATTGGGTCAAACCCAGCTGTGCTCAGGACTTACTCCTGGGTCCCTGCTCAGGGATCACTCCTGATGGGGCTCTGGGATGCCAGGAATCAAACCCAGGTTGACTGCATGATAGGCAAGCACCCGACCCATTGTACTATCACTCAGGCCCCCTATTTAATATTTACCACAAGAGTTTACCTTTCCAATTATATTTCTTTTAAACACAGGGTGGAAAAAATCATTAATATTCTTGAGAGCTGAGTTTAGTAGCAGCAATACAACGACATGCAAAACTGATCACGTAAATCCAAAATGTAAAGCCCAAAATTATAATTCCCAAAGATGGGCCAGAGAAACTGCAGATGTTAAGAAACTTGCTTCACATGCAATTCACCCAGCTTGATCCTTAGCATCAAATATGGTACCCCTGAGCACAGAGCCAATGAGTAAAGCCTAAGTACCACTGGGGGTGGCTCCAAAAATAATTTTTCTAAAAGAAAATACAGGAATCTTTCTGTAATCTTGATTATCCAAAATTCCTAGACACAATAAAGTACAATCCATTAAAATAAATAAACTGGAATCAAAAATTAAAACAACTTCTCTTCAAAAATTAGTATTACAGACATGAATAACATATTACAGAAAGAAAAATTACTAAAGAAGAAAAAAACAGTAGGGCCCAGGAGATAAGGGTGCATATTGTGCATAAACCCAGGTTCAAATCCTAGCAACACACGGTCCTCTGAGTCCCACCAGGCACAGCCCTGGAGGCCCCGGAGCACCTCTGGCTGTAGGTGAAGGTGACCTGGGAATGCCCAGTATTACAGGGCTCAAGAAGCACTGCATCCCTGAGCCAATGCATTCTACATCGAAAGGCAGGTGGGACTCCCCCAAGTCACCTAAGCACTACTTAGGAAGCCCCCCAAAAGGAGACATCACAGGGCCTGGGGATGTTATCTCAGCAGCAGAGCTCCTGTCATTCCATATGTGAAGTCCTGACTTTTTTTTTTTTTTTTGGCATCACCAACGGTCACGGTCACGGTCCTCCCGTTGTTCATCGATTTGCTCGAGCGGGCCCGGTAACGTCTCCATCATGAGACTTGTTGTTACTGTGTTTGGCATATTGAATACATCACGTGTAGCTTGCCAGGCTGGGCAAGATACTCTGGGTAGCTTGCTGGGCTCTCCAAGAGGGGCGGAGGAATCTAAGCGGCCATGTTGGCCGCTTGTAATGCAAATGCCCTACCATTGTGCTAGCGCTCCAGCATCACCAAAAAAGGGAAGAAAAAGAGACAAAAATAATTAAATACACACTACACCAAAAATAAAGAAATGGAAAAACAAGCATATAAAAATATGCTCAACACGTCAAGTCACAGAAGAAATGCAAATTAAAACCAAATATGATACTAAACACTGGGGCTGAAGCGATAGCAGAGTGGGTAGGGTGTTTGCCTTGCACACAGCTGAGCGGGTTTGATTCCTGGCATCCCATTTGGTTCCCCAAGCACCACCGGGGTAACTCCTGAATGCAAAGTCAGGAGTAACCCCTGAGTACTGCTAGAGATGACCCCCAAAATAAACAACCAAAAACAGATATTACACAGACTCTAATTAGAAAAGCTGACACCAACCATTGGTGAGACTGTCAAGCAACTGAGACCTGAAGTTGGCAGCAGGGTTGTGAGACTGCACAGCCACTTTGAAAAAGAGGGTTCCTTCAACAGTTAATGGAGATGCCATTTGATCCAACTATTATGTTTCTGGGTATTTACACTCCAAAAAACAACACTAAAAATAAAAAAGGATGTCCACACCAAAACCCATGCAAAGTGTTCAGAGCAGCAGCATATTTATAACAGTCCCCCGCCTCTAATATCCATCAATTGATGAATGGCTAAATAAAAAGAGCCACATCCACAGAATGGAATTATACTTGGCAAAAAAAAAAAAAATACTGAAGCATTCATGGGATAAAGAGCTATCTCCATGGTGAAAGCGTTTGCCTTGCAAGCAGGACCCTGGTGCTGCATTAAGCACCTAGGGTGATACTGGGGCCTGTTCTGCTTGAGCCTGGCAGCTCTGCTATTCAAGATTCCCATCACACCATGGTCAGGGATGTGCACATGTGCCACAGTTAACTGACGACAACCACCAGTCCCTTGGCAAACACCATGGCTAAGCCTCTGCTATAGGATGTGCACATGTGCCACAGTTAACTGACGACAACCACCAGTCCCTTGGCAAACACCATGGCTAAGCCTCTGCTATAGAATACTATGCTAATGAAAAGAACAGCAATGATAATATGAGAACACTAGACATTAGTACACATACACTTACTGTATTATCAGCCACTATACAAGGGGCTAAAGACCCAGTAACTGAAACAGCCCTAATCTCAGTACCCAGCACTGATGATTTAATAAAGGTAAAGGTAAAGGCCCTCCCGTTGATCATCGATTTGCTCGAGCGGGCCCAGTAACGTCTCCATTGGAGACTTTGTTGTTACTGTGTTTGGCATATCCAATACGTCACGGGGAGCTTGCCAGGCTCTGCCGTGCGGGCGAGATACTCTCAGTAGCTTGCCGGACTCTCCAAGAGGGGTGGAGGAATCGAACTCGGATCGGCCATGTTGGCTGCGTGCAAGGCAAATGCCCTACCGCTGTGCTATCGCTCCACCCTTTTTTGATTTAATAAAAAAGAAAAAAAGCGAACGACTAGAACCCGTAAGAGAGATAAATAACAAGAAGCATTGGGCGCAATGGAGCACTCAGCAAGAGTACCTAAAGACAGCTAGGGGAGCCAGGGAGGGCTCTTAGTGCAGAGACCTGGGGAGTAGCACCATTGTACAGCGGGTAGGGCACCTGCCTTAAACATGGCCAACCTAGGTTTGAACCCTAGTACGACATAAGGCCCCCTGAGTCCCACCAGGAGTCATTTCTGAGCGCAGAGAAAGGAGTTAAGCCCCCAAAGCATTGGAAGTCCCCAACCTTATCCCCCACCCCCCGCAAAAAAAAAAAAAAAAGAGTGCAGAGTGCAGAGACTGGAGGAAAGAAACATTCCAAATGGAAGAGAAGCCAAGAAAAGAGCACAACCAGGTCAAACCCTACTTATTTCTATACACATGTAACAAAGACCTTTAAACAATATTAAAGAGCAGTCACTGAAGAACCAAGATTACATCTGTGCTAGAGAAAAAACACTCCAACCACTACAAGAGAAAAATAAGAGAACAAAAAGAAGCCACAGATCTAAAGAGATCGATGGAAAGAGGACGACATGTTCACTGTGTGTATCTGGTAGTATCACATCATAACCCAGTGACTAACTATGGTGCACACACACACACACAGGCATGGAGTCATCTATATATTGGGCTCTAGGCAGGCACTGGTAGGATTCATTCAGATGGGAAATATTAGAAAAGAAAGAGGCTTTGACTGGGAGTGAAGAGAAAGAGGATAAGGTGAAGTAACACATTTACTGAATCCCAAAAGACATATAAGTAGTAAGAGAGGTAGACACTCAAATATATACAAAAGTCCAGGGGCAAAGATATATTTTGAAATTCTGGTAATAAATTTTGGAGTGACAACTGAAGCGGAGCTAAGAGAGCATTTTCTAGAAAGACAAAAGGGTCTGGATAGAACTCTCAGACAGAATGGAAGCAAATACTAACAATTACAATAAAGCAAAGGTGAAATGGCCAGAGCTAGTTCAGAGATTCACATAAACATTGGTTTATGTGAGCAACACTGGGTGCAACCCCCAAGCACGGACTGCCAGGTGCACCCCCTGAACTAAAAATTAGCCTAAGAGCTTGTCAGGAAGTTGAGGAAGGGGAACACAGATTCAAGCAGGGGGAGCACAGATAGTTGTATACCCTCAACCCAACACTGGCTCATATCTATTGGGGGAAGGCCATCATCTTTAACCACACAAAGCTTCGGGACAGACACACAGAGAGCAGGGAGGAAGAGGACACCCACCTAACCAGCCACATCAGCTCAATCAACCCCAGGAGATCAAGGGGGTGATGGATGTCTCAGCCAGATCATTCTCACATACAAATAATCACTTAAAAAGAGATCCAGTAAAGGGCTGAGAAAGGGACAACTAACTACATAGAAGAGAGAGAAGTCAACCCAACTGGGAAACAGAAAATAAACAGAGCACAGAACCAGAGAAGCTAGGGTTAAGCAAGAAAATCAGCAATGCTGACTGTTACTCTCAAGCAGTAAAGCAAGTAGTCCTCTGAACTGAGCAAGAAATCCATTCACCTCCTCTCAAGAGCAACTGGTGGCACACAGACTGAGCAGTGAACGGAAGCTGAGGTAATGGAACATGGGAGAGAGAGGAAAGAATTTTACAGTTAAGAAATTAAATGGAAGTAGATAAATTCTTGATTACAGGTCTAGCACTTTGGAAAAGGTGACCGAATACAGAAGAAATGAGGTCATTAGAAACAGATCAGGAAAAAGGAGAATAGGCGGACAGAAGGTATGGAAAAGCAAGGAATTTGGGGAAGCAGCAATAGCACAGTGGATAGAGTGTCTGCCTTGCATGCAACCGATCTAGGTTCGATCCCCGGCATCCCACATGGTCCCCTAAGCACCTCCAGGAGTGATTTCTGAGTGCAGAGCCAGGAATACCCGAGCATAGCCGGGTGTGACCCAAAAATCCAAAGGGGGGAGGGGAAGCAAGGAATTTAGAGAATTTTGCTATTTCTAAAATTTAAGCATGGTCAAGATGAAGATGGAAAGGAAGGAAAGCGCCAGATCATTTAAATTTTATCTTCATCTTAAATGCAATTTGCTCAAGAACGAGAGCTGCCTTCAGAAGGGTTGTCAAATACTTTTTTTTTTAAATTTAGATGCAGTCAGTTAATTTAGAAAACAAATTTAGAAAAATTTAGTTCTAAGGAACAGGAAAGGCAGAATACACCGGATAGCCAACCTAAAAATTGTAAAAATGTTTTAATGACCAAAAAAAAGAGAATAGAGCTCAGAAATAAAATAAATAAAAATGTTTTAATGACAAATGATTACAATAATAGTTCATCTTGAGAACTTTTTACTACCTAAAGTGCTTAAGTGCTAAATGCTAATTTATCTACAATGTTATCAAAAAGCAGAGGGAACCACCAAGTACCTTCCTACTCCAAAACGACAATAAGAAATAAAGGGGGTAGGAGGAGCTATCACTTACCAATTCCACACCTATTACTCCTGCACCAATGACAACCATCTTTTCTGGAACCTTTTTTAAGGATAATGCACCCGTAGATGACACTATTGTATCTTCATCAATCTAGTATTTAAAAAAAAAGAAATTAAAATTACTTAAAAACTTACTGACTTATTAAGCCATGATTTAACTCGGTATAATCACTAAACATACTAAATCATTTATTTGTTTCAAGGTATCTAAGATTTCTATCTATACACCTGATCAAATCACATGTAAAGTGCTCACCTAAAATTCTATAAGCATTTCAAAAGCAAATGGTCAATCTTATAACCTAATGTCCTTAAATCCTGTTTTATTTCTAATTAAAATGACTGCAGAATGAAGACAGAAAACTTCACAAAGGCGCATGACTATCTAGTAAGATTTTAGTAGAAATCTCTCAAAGTTCATAGTGTGACTAAGGTAGTTCACAAAATGAATTTCTTGCAAGAAGGCACAGGCAGTTGTAAAAAGAATAAATACCGTGATTCCAGGAAAGGGAGTGACTTCTGAACCAGTTGCTATAAGGATATTCTTTGTATCGATAACTTGAGTGCTGCCATCGGCTTTAGTAGCGGTCACTTGATTTTTGCCACTTATCTTCCCGAACCCATTAACGTGAACAACCTTTCAAAATATAAGGTATATAGATTCATAAAGCTTAAAGTAACTTTTTTGGTACAGAAACAATGGCTTACTGAAGAAAGTGTCCTAATACATCCAACACAAGATGTTTCCTTTAATTAAAATACTGTACATAGAGCAGCAAAATTTTTATTATATTAAAAAAATGTACTGAAAACAATACAAAATAAATTATTTCGGTTCTGCTTTGGGGTGGGGGTTGGGGTTCTGGATGGAAACATCCAAAATATGGAGGTGGGAAGGTGTAATGGTGGTGGGCTTGGTGTTCAAATATTAAATGTAATCAAATATTGTGAATAACTTTATAAAAATAAAATCAAATTTAAAAAAATAAAAAATGTATTAAATATTCATGCCAGGGAAGTTTATTTCAGGTTAGGCTTGTTTTAAGCAAATAAATATTCTCACCCACCCAAAGAATAATAGCAATGTCTATCAGCATAGGGCTTAGTACACGTATTTTTTAATAACTAACCTTATTTTGCTTGAACAAGTGAGCAATTCCACCTGTTAAAGCTTTTACTGCGGTGCTCTTCTGTTCCATCATTTTCTCTAAGTTCAAGCGAACTTCAGGCACTGTAATTTGTTAAATACATCTTTAGGCTTTAGCTAAGTTCTCAACATTTTCCACTACGCATGATTTGAAAAGTTTATATAACCTAACGCTTATAAAAAGGCAGTACTGAAATGTTTTAAGTTAATAAAAGATACAATCTCAGCTGGCAACAGGCCAACAACATTCTATCACAATACTTAACAGACAATTATTATTAAGATGTCCACCTTCAGGAAAAAAGCATTCTCAAATAAAATATTCTATCTCCCACTGGGACAACATATTCACCAAACACCTTATGAGCCTGAAAGAGATTTAGGAGAAATGGAAAAGTCAAATACCTAATACTTTACAGAGAAATGTTCTCTTCATAAAACAGAAACAAACATATCCACTTGAAAACTTTACATAGAGAAGCCAAATACCAAAATTAATCAACTAGCTCTTAATTACTCATTAAACTAAGAACTCTGAGGAAACAATATAAGACAATCAAAAACTTCACTTCAGTAGAGCTTAAAAAGGCGGCTACCTTAAAAATCAACTCATGAGGGCTAGGGAGATAGCTCAAAGGGCTGGCTCCCATTGCTTTCCACGTGAGAATCCCAGGTTTGATGCCTGGCACGGCATGGCTCCTGCCAAGTACGCACCCCACTCCCCCAAATCAGCTCATGTGATCAACACATGGTGCTGATCTTGAAGATGAGGAACTAGAGATCCTGAGAGATTTCATTTCCTCTGGGAGGCAGAGATAGAACATGAAGCCTTGCCTACAATGCGGGTCTTCTGGATTAATACAGTCTCTTCTTTCTTTCTAGGTAAGGAAAGTAGGTCTTGATTCTACTTTTCATTGAATTTAACATGCCATTCCTTCCTCTTTAATCTTCATGCTATAATCACTATAATCCTTTCTTTCAGAAACAAATGAAGGAAATTAGTGTCCCCTCACCCCCGCCGCCTCCACCCAGGTAAGCTTAAGACCAGTCTAGAACAGACTGTGCTTCTGTAAGTACATGACAATAATGATGGAAAGTACGAAATAAAGACAGTTCAAAACAAAGGGCAGGAGATAAGATTTAACAAGTCAAAATATTTAAAAAAATAAAAAAATTTAAAAAGTCCCTTTCCACTCATGAAATTCCTGCATCTACCTGGCAACTTCCACTACCAACAATTTCCACAAGCATGCCACCTTTCATCATTTGTCTTCAGTATTCAGAATTTAGTGCCCTTATTCCACAGCTGATCTTCAGGTTTCAGGGAAATCAAAACTGATCGTGCACACAATGCACGCACAAACACATGAACACACACATACACCCACCCTCCCAGACCTCATACAAAAGATGCCAACAAAAAAACAGAAGAGATTATGGTAGAACTCTGAATGAAGCCATTTTTTAACTTAAGTTTCTACACGTTTAAGATTGTTTCCTTATTCTTCCCTCAAATAGCACTGCACTGTCCTCCCGTTGTTCATCGATTTGCTCAAGCGGGCCCAGTAACGTCTCCATTTTGAGACTTGTTGTTACTGTGTTTGGCATACTGAATACGTCACAGGTAGCTTGCCAGGCTTTGCCGTGCGGGCAGAATACTCTCGGTACCTTGCTGGGCTCTCCGAGAGGGGTGGAGGAATCAAACCTGGCTCAGCCAGGCCGGCTGTGTGCAAGGCAAATGCCCTACCACTGTTATCGCTCCAGCCCAAATAATATACACAGAAATGTTTTTTGGGCCACACCCAGAGGTGCTCAGCGATTACTCCTGGCTCTGTGCTCAAGGATCACTTCTGACGGTGCTTGGAAGGCATATGGTGTGCCAAGGTTTGAATTTAGGTCAGTCATGTACAAGGCAAACATTCTACTCACTGTACTATCAGTCCAGTCTGTCAATAACACATATACACATTAGACACAGGAGTCTTTAGACACAGAGTAAAGTATGACCAATTAAATCACTAAATATGAAGTGTACTTACCTTCAATTCCTCTAGATGCAAAATCCTTTCCATGGACCATATGGTAATAATGAGAGTTATTTAACAAAGCCTAAAGAAAATTAAAAGAAAAAGAATTAGAAATAAGACAACTGAAAGTAGTTATGATATTTTATTCGCTATGTATAAGTATGTACAAAAGTATAGAGCATCAGCTTCTGTTTTTGTCATTAATTTAATGAAAATAATGAGATAAAAATAGTTAACGAAAGGTGCCAGAGAGACAGTACAGCAGGTAGGGCACCTGCACTGCAAATGGTCAACTGGGTTCAATCCTTGGTATCACACATGGTCCCAAGCCCACCAAGAATGATCCCAGAGGGCAGAGCCAAGAGTAAGCTCTGAGCATAGATAGGTGTGCACTCCCTCCCCTTAAAAAACAAGAAATAAGAATGCCTTTACTGTCCTAAAAGCAAGTGAGTAAGTACACACTTCAGGTGAAAAAGGCAGTCAGCTCACATGCAAGAAAGGAACTAGGTGCAGGGGAGACAATACAAACTTCAGGCACTTGCCTGGCATTTGGCTGCAGCTGTAACCTTGGTTCGAATTGTAACACCACATTTGATCTCCCAAACACTATCAGGCTTGACCCTGACCAAAGAGCCAGGTGTGACTCTTTCCTGTTACGCTTTACACTGGGAAAGCAATGTTAAGGGAATATGATGTCTGACTCAATGGAAACATCAGGAATTCTGAGACAAATCAAAAGACAAGAATGCATGGCAAGGCCAGAGAGATAGTATAGTGGGTAAGGCACTTGCCCTGCACACAGTCACCTGGGTTCAATCCCCAGCACGCCACATGGTCCCTGAGTCCTGCTAGGAGTGATCCCTAATCACAGAGTTAGGAGAAAGTTCTGAGCACTATTGAGTATGGTGGCAAAAAAAAGGAAAAAAAATAAAAGCAGCATGGCAGACTGGTGTCAGAACTCAAAAGTTTTACCAAAGAAAAGGTATCCTTTAGGGGTCGAGTGAGAGTTCAGTGGGTAGGTTCAAGTCTCAGCATCCAATATGGTCCCCTGAGCACTGCCATAAATAATTCCTGAGTACAGACCCAGGAGTAACTACCCAAGTACCACCAGATGTGGTCCAAAAAACCAAACAAAATAAAGTATTTTTATCTCCAGGGGGTGCTTAATTTCTATTAACTTTGTTAGCATAATAGTCTAGTCTCAATACATCCACCTAGATAGTTAACAAAAAAATATCTCTGTACTATAGAAAATGAACGCTCACCTTAGAAGGTATACACCCAACATTCAAGCACGTTCCACCAAGAGTATCATTTTTCTCAACGCAGACTGTCTACAATCAAAGAAAACATTACTTAACTGCATATAACCTGCAAATGTTTTGCATTATTAAAGCTCTGAATGTATTGATCTTAATTTTATGAAACATACCTTTCAAACTGGATCTGTACGCAAGAAATAGTACTGTTTTAAATTACCATCTGAAAAATGTCAAATTCAGGCTAACCCAAAATTGAATTAATTGTTCTAAAAGACTTTTTCCTGTTTTTAATTACCAAATATATGCCTTTATTTCTATTACTGTTTCTTAAAAGTGTGACTACAGGAGCTGGAGAGAGAGTGCAGAATGCAAGGCTTTACTTGCGGCTGAGCCCGGTTCAATCCTCGGCACCCCAGAAAGTGCCCCAAGCCCGGCCAAGATTCAATTCCTGAGCACAGAGCCAGGAGTAAGCCACAAACCTCACTAGGTATGGCCCCCAAAACAAAAACAAAAAGCGAGACTAGAAGTTAAAACATACTGTCAGAGAGCGCAAAAGAACACTGCGACCCAGTTTCCATTTCATGGGAAATAACAACTGAATGAACCCTGCCCCTCTCCATTAGACTTGGGGGGTACATACAATTTATAGAATTTGAGAAATTATTGTGATAAAATAGTTTATGAATAGTTTATGAATATAATCAACTCTTCCCAATAAAAAGGAACCGAGACCTAGCAGGAGTCTAAACCTTACCTTGAAGCCTAACTGGGCAGCTTTAATAGCAGCAACATACCCTCCAGGCCCAGAACCGATCACTGTCACATCAGCATCAACTATAATAAAAAAAAAAAAAAATTGATGTGAAACAGTGCATCATAAGACATAAACAAGACTTTTTTTTACCCAAGATTTTTAAACCTGGCTTTAAAAAAAATAGTTTCAATAACTATCATTTGCTACAAAGTATTTTATTCGTAGGTACTTTGATGTCATTTGCAGTAACTGAAATAGGACAGAGGTTTCCATTTCATTTTCTGTGTTCATTATGGCATACAGAAATATAACAAAGTTCTGTATCCACTTTGTTAAAGTTCATAATTTTAACAGAAAGTAACATAGGCACTTAGTAACAATGGAAGACACCTCAACCAGGTTGGCCGCATGCAAGGCAAACGCCCTACCCACTGTGCTGTTGCTCCAGCCCCCACACCTGATTTTAAATCTCAGCACTACCATACAGGAAAGAGTTGTGTGTCTTGGGGCCAGGAGCAAGCTCAGTGGTTAGGGCCTATTCTCAGCATGCACCTGGCTGAGTTGGATACCTAGCACCTCGTGGTCCCTGAGTATTGCCAGGTACAGTTCCGAAGGCTCTGAACACAGCAAGGTGCGGCCTTGGGAACCCCCACATCACTGGGTGGTCTGAGCATCCCCATCACTGCAAGCAGGAACTGAGATTCACATCCTGGGACCTTTACACGGCCCAGCAGGCTGAGAATTACTTCTGGGACCCCTAGACCTTTCCTGGGAGGCCTCCTCCCCCACACACAAAAAAATAATAATTGTGTGACTAAATAACTTTTCCATAAGAACAATATGTTCCCCTAAATGACTGATACTGGAATTAAACATAAGATAATTTTTGTATGATACTTTTCCATTGGGTTGGAGTGATAGCACAACAGGTAGGGTGTTTGCCTTGAACGCGGCTGACTTGGCCAACCCAAGTTTGATTCCTCCGCCTCTCTCGGAGAGCCCGGCAACCTACCGAGAGTATCTTGCCCCACAGCAACGCCTGGCAAGCTACCACACCGTAACAAGTCTAACAATGTTACTGGGCCTGCTCAAGCAAATCGATGAACAACGGGAGGACAGTGCTACAGTGCAGTGCTACTTTTCCATTATTAAAAAAACACTGTCACTGTCACTGTCCTCCCATTGTTCATCGATTTGCTCGAGCGGGCCCAATAACGTCTCCATTGGAGACTTTGTTGTTACTGTGTTTGGCATATCGAATACGTCATGGGGAGGTTGCCAGGCTCTGCCGTGCAGGCGAGATACTCTCGGTAGCTTGCCGGACTCGCCGAGAGGAGAAGAGGAATCGAACTCGGGTCGGCCATGTTGGCTGCATGCAAGGCAAACGCCTTACCTGCTGTGCTATTAAAAAAACAAAACAAAACAAAACAAAAAACACTTTGAAACTAATTCCAGGTCCTTAATTTCTGAGATGTGAGTGTATGGAAGAGGTAGGGATCAACTCCTCTGCAATAAGAAGTATGAACTTTAAGGGGAGTGCTGAGAATCGAACACAAGGCCTCACTTATATAAAGGTAGTGCTCCACCGTTAGCTGCATCTTAACCCCTTTGGACTTAATTTGAGTACGGATAAATTTTGTATAATTGAACAAAATGGGTAGGGCAGGACATCCAGTGAACTCTTTTGGATATTGGCCCTATAAAGATAAAACTGGGCCAGAGGAGAGCCCACGCCGTGGAGCACATGCCCAGCCTGTGCAAGGCGCAAGTGCAATTCCTGGCACTCACTCACGGCCACTGCACACTACTGAGGGCGGCCCTAGTGACATCAAGCACAGCACGGCATACCCAACAAGCAGTAGACCTGGGCCCTGTGCATGGCCAGTTGTGTCCTTTTTTGAAAAAAAAAAAAATGCATACTGACTTTGATTGGCAGACTTACGTATATTTTAGTAATTATAATACAAATGCACAAAAATAAATCTAATTACTCCCAATCTCAATATGACTTCTAATAAAGCAATAATAAAGTTAGGTGACAGTTCCCAGCCCCTCTCTCTCTTTCTCTCTCTCTCTTTCTCTCTCTCACACACACACACACACACACAAATGCACAAATACACAAACACACACACACTTCTTTGTCCTTAAAATCCAAGTATTCTATTATTTAGCAGTCCAGATCATGCTTTCACATATATTACCAAGTTTGACTCTGAGAACTGCTTAGGAGGAAAGTAAAAATGAGGTATCTTTGACAATGAACAAGGTTCAGAGAGGTCGATTAACTTTCCCAAGATGATTTTGCAAGAGTGACAAAACTAAGATTTGTGTCTCTATTTTCACTGATCTTTATCTTTCATTCTATGCTATTTTACTCCTCATTCTCCTCCCAGCCCCTGTGTGACCCTCAAATGTTAGACACCTGTCCAACACTGAGCCTTGTCCCTAGTCCTCCATTCCTCCACAATTTCAACTATCATTACCTAAAATTCCAAAGAACAATAGTCAAACTTGGTAATATTAATTATCTGATATTACAAAAAGGTGAGAATATTTTTCCATTTAGTTTTCTCATCTCTAAAATAAAGATCACGCAAAAAAAGTCTACCTCAAAGAACTGTAAACTAAACAGAACGTGTGTGAGTGTGTGTGTGTGTGTGTGTGTGTGAGAGAGAGAGAGAGAGAGAGAGAGAGAGAGAGAGAGAAGACAGATAGACCTTGGCACAGTATCTGAAGCATATATATTTGCTATAAGAAAACTACATTCTGATCTCTGCAGATGGTGATTTTAAGTTCTCTCCTTAAGAAACACACCCTGGGCAAAGGAAGAACTGAGAATTAGGGGTGCATGCCTTTCCTATGCCAGTCTTTATCTTAATGAAGTGTGCATTCTTTCACTAAATCCCTTAGGGCCTGGGAAGAGATAGCTCAGAAGACTGGAGTTCTTGCTCTGTAGGCAGGAGGCCCAGGTTTTAAAATATCTAAATCAGTATGGAAGATGGGAATGTGGCTCAAGGGTAAATATATATGTGTATGTATGATTATATTTATATTATATACATACATATGTGTGTATATATATACATATATATGTGTCTGTATACAAAAAAAAATTTTAAAAAGAGCTCCAGGTTTATCCTCAGTACACATACCCACCCTGGCCTCCAAGCACTGCTGGGAATAGCCATGAGCCCCACAACTGTGACCCCAAAGCAATTAAATATCTCAGGTCTTATACCTATGTATGTGAAATGCATACTGCTTCATCTAACCAAAAATTTTACATACTCAATCTACGGGCTAGAGCGATAGCACAGCCGGTAGGGTGTTTGCCTTGCGCATGGCCAGCCTGGCCGAGCCGGGTTCAATTCCTCTGCCCCTCACAGAGAGCCTGGCAAGCTACTAAGAGTATCTTGCCTGCACAGCAAAGCCTGGCAAGCTCCCTGTGACATATTCGATATGCCAAACACAGTAACAAGAAGTCTCACAATGGAGACATTACTGGGTCCTCTACAGCAAATCGATGAACAACGGGAGGACAGTGCTATAGTGCTACTCAATCTACATGGGTACTAAGGGATTTAAGATTTACTCAATGTCAAAAGGTCATTAAAATGATTGGACTGAGTTAGTAGCTACTTAGCTTTAGTTCATAAAAATTGAAGGGTTTGATCAGGAAATGCCTGGCATACAGAAAGCACTCAACACTCTGCAAATGCTTCCAAAGATGCAGAGTTATCTATGGAAAGTCTTTAATTGCATGTATTTTTCATGTCATGTGAGGTGAGAAAAATTAGTAATATTTCCAGTTAAACAAGAAACAAAAGGTGTGTGTTAATTATATCAGAGAGAGAGAGAGAGAGAGAGAGAGAGTGTGTGTGTGTGTGTGAGAGAGTGAGTCTGAGAGTCTAAGAGAGAGATACGTGCCAGACTTGTGGTTCAGAGGTAACATGCATGCAAAGTGCATGCAGCTGACCTGCATTCAATCCCCCTCACCACCACAAAAGCTGTACTGGGTGTAACATTTGCATCCAACATTAAATTATCATTTTTTGTTTTCAAAATCTGACTGCTCACTGTCAATGGTGACCAGAATCCTCTCCCCTACTACTGCAGCACTGTAGCACTGTCCTCCCATTGTTCATCAATTTGCTCGAGCGGGCACCAGTAACGTCTCCACTGTGAGACTTGTTGTTACTGTGTTTGGCATATTGAATACTACACAGGGAGCTTGCCAGGCTCTGTCGTGCAGGCAAGATACTCTCGGTAGCTTGCTGGGCTCTCTGAGGGGCGGAGGAATTGAACTTGGGTCGGCTGTGTGCAAGGCAAACGCCCTACCCACTGAGCTATCGCTCCAGCTCCCCTACTACAATCTCCAGAATAGGGGGCTGGAGCGATAATACAGCAGGTAGGGCATTTGCTTTACATGCAGCCAACCTGGGTTTGATCCCTGGCATCCCATAAGGTCCCGGAGCAGCACCAAGAGTAATTCCTGAGTGCAGAGTCAGGAGTAACCTTTGAGCATCACCGGTGTGACCCAGAATGTCAAAAAAATAAAATAAAATAAAATCTCCAGAATAATAACAGTTTGACAAAGGTAAAGACACAGAATGAAATTATTTCAGAGGGCTGGGCTACTGCTCAGCAGTACTTGCCTTGCATGCTTGGTCAATCCTGGCACTACAGGTTGAAGAGAGAGTGTACAGTAAAGGATTAAGGTCTAGGCCATGAACGACATGAAACCCAGCTGGATCCCTAGCACCATAGGGTCCCCTGAATATGGCTTAACATGTCCCTGAGCTCCCTAAGGCACTTCCAGGTGGGGCCTTGGAGGCCCTCAAAAAAGAAGCTGGATGGCCGAGGGAATTCCTGGCACCACAGGGTCTGGGCAACACCACATCCTTGGTCGCCTGGCATTGAACCCAGTTAGCCCCCAGAGTCCCACTACCAATCCCCCCGAAATTATTTTAGAGTGTACAGGGCACAGTTCATCCAAGCTAAGAGTGAATTGTCCAATCAATTATCAAAACAAGTCATTTCAAACAATAAGCTTGGTATTCAAGGCCAAAAACTGCTTACTACTAGCTAATTCATTTCCTGTTCGGAATACTTTTAAAGATATATGTATTTCCTGTATAAAAACTTCAAAGACAGAAAGTGTAAGATAGCCATAATCTACAGCTTCCTTTTAGGTTAAATCTTTCTAGTCTTTAAAATTTGCTTTGGATAAGCCCTGAAGATCTCACCCAGCAGACAAAATTGACTTTTTAAAGATAAACATAAAGTGAGTAGCTCCTGTTTATCTTTTTAAAGATAAACATAAAGTGAGTTGCTCCTAGACAGCTCAGAGCACGGGGCTGTATGATTTGCATGCTGGAGGCCCAGGTTTGATTCAGGGCACCACAGGTTCCCCAAGCACCTTCAGGAGTGACGTCCCTGCACCACCAAGGGAATAGGACCAAACCGCCACTGGGTATGCTTACCCCCAAACATCCTCCAATAACCAAACTGCTCCTATGGACAAAACCTTTCCCTGGTCCCCCATCCCTTTTGGGAGTAAAACCCAAACTCCCTGGCATGACAAGTCCTCCAGGACCTGATCCCTGCCTACATCTCTGATTTACAGTCTGTTTCAACCACATCAGCTTTCTTGGAACCGCATCATCCGCATGAACAAATTCTCTCCTTAGATTCTTCTCACTGCAGAGGCCTCTGCCTGAGAGAAGCTCTTCACTCCTAACTTCAGTCAGGTCCTTGCTCAGATATAAGCTTCTCAGAAAAAGTGCTCACAGCCTCTTCAAAGCATCTCTTTCTGCCTTTAACTTTCAATCGTTTGCCCCAACATGTATTTACTTGGGTTATTTACTGTCTTTTACCAACATACTGCCAGTGGAATTGGGTCTCGTTCACCACTTGAACATACACGTTGCTCAATGAAGATTTGGTGATTAAATACATGGACAAATGAACACTAAGACAGACCATTATAAGTTACGAGAATAGTCGCTTGCTTGACATTTAAACACAAAGGTGCTATAGATGATTCTGAAGAGAAAATGTTTTACAAAAATACTTACTTGGCCCATCAGCGTAAGTTCTGAGAGGCACTGCAGAGACTCCGGGCAGGCCATGGGAGATCCGACTGAAATGGCCTCTCTGGAAAAGAAGGAAGGTTCACCTTACATAAAAAAAGAACTATGGAAGGTTGATGAAAATACGCTTCTGAGCAAATATGTCTTCCGGTGACAGAACTAGAGGTTGCTTCTAGGTTGTTCCCTCTAGGGAACAATTATTTTAACCTGGCAATCCCAGCCGCTATGCTACCTTTTTATTTTGAAGAGTCCATTAACCTTCTCATGTTTAACCTAATACAAAATTTATTCGGTGGCATTTAATAAATTTCCAGAAAGCATTAAGAAAAGCTCTGAAAATCTTAATTTGTGTACATGAATAATCCACGCTGTGACAATTCTACAAAACTTGTAATCATCTCCTAATCCTACAGGAAGGCTCAATGAAGATGTCACTATCCACAAGGGGAGGTGGGGGAATCAGCCAAGCACATTTAGGAAAACCTACTAAGTCATCTATGCGTTCTTACAGCTCTGCAAACTGTATCATAATCCTCAGGGCAATCCCAAAATAGGGATGGTTGCAGCACTGATGGATCTATGGTGATCACAGCTGCTTCCCAAAATACAAGTAGTGTCATATACAATTAGCACACATATGGTTATTTCTTAAGAACAGTAAGGCACCAAGAACCACAGCAAAAAAAAAAAAAAAGCTACATCACAGAAGAGAAATGGGCTGCAGCCACAAAACATACCCTGTTGGTAGTAAGATTCTCTATTCCTAGGCAATGCTTGCACCTGTGGCCAGGGCAGCAGATTAAAGTCGGTCCTTGTTGAGATTCAGTCCTAGCCCCGCTTGGCGATCAAAGCCCGGCTCTGAGTACCTTCTCTTAAAAAAAACTTGTGGAAGCACAGGTTTCTCCTCGTTGGAATCCAGGAATGGATCACTACCATCCTTACCTTGAAGGTCTATTGCCACGCAGGATCCAGCCAGGATCCTACGTACATGCAATCGGGCGGTGTTTGGTAAGTAGGTGAAAAGGGAAACAGTTATCTTGATCATAACCTGCTTGCAATTAACAATGCAAACCTCTAGGAGGAAAGGCAACGGCCTCCAACTTAAAACCTGCCAGCACCGCTTCGCAGCCCCCCCACCCCCGACCCCACCCCACCCCACCCCGGAGCGACGGTGCCGAAGGCTCTCTCTCTCAAAACTGACCCGGATGGTGGAGAGAGTGGCCTCAAGGTTATCTTGCGTGCCCACTGCAAAAAGTGAGATCACGCGAGGATAGGGATCAGCACTAGGAGGGAGAAAAAAATAAAAAGGTCGCAAGGGGCTCGAGGCCCGGACCATCCGGGCTCAGGGGGGTTGGCTCAGGGTTTCCTCCGCCCGGGTGGAGAAGCCTCGGGAAGGCGCGGGCTTGCACCACGGCGCCGGTCTGGGGGCGGAGGGTGGCACTGCCATCCACGGCGTCTTTGCAGGCTCTCCCCGCGAGTTGTGGGCACCGTCACCCCCGGAGCCTCCAGCAGGGCTGAGGCGGTTCCTAAGGCGGAGCCGCCGCCGCCAAGGCCGCCGCCGGCCTCTCCCACCCCCCACCCGGGCAGGCCGTGTCCCCGCGCCCACCGTCCGCGCCCTCCGCGGCTTCCCCCCGCGCACGACCCCGCCGGCTGGGCCCTTACCTTGACCAAGGAGCAGGACACACGGCTCCAGCTCTGCATTTTGCTGCTTCCCTTTGGCCCAAACCTTTCACCTCCGCGAAACGCCTTCAGCGCCTGGCCAAGGTCTCCCCGCCCTGCGCATGCACGGCGCGGGTGACGTCACTCGCCGCGGCGCGCGCGATTGGCCGGCGCGAGCCAATCGGAAGGGGCGTTCCCGGCATTCTCCGCGGCGGAGGCGAACGTCAAGCTGGATGCTCCCTGCGTCAGGCTCCGTAGCGGCCGGCGCTGCTGGCTCCGGCTCCTGAGCTTGCTAGTCAAGTGCCCTGGAGTTGCAGTGTGATTTTTTTTTAATGATTATTTTTTAAGACCTGGAAGAGGAAATGAATGAGGCAAACGGTCATTTGCATCATGCACAGAAAGGAAAGTTCGAGCAGAATTTTGTTTAAGCACTTTTTATTTATTTTATTTTTATAAAGTTGTTCATAGTATTTGATTACATTTAATATTTGAACACCAATCACACCCGCATTACACCTTCCCGCCACCATATTGCCATCCCGAATCCCAAACCCTGCCCCCAAAGCAGAACCGAAATAGTTTATTTTGTATTGCTGGTTATGAATCATCCACTGAAAATGAGACAAAAAAAGGTTTCTAGAGGAAAGTGTGTGAAGATTGTTGGATTTCACCCAGGAGCAATTAAACCCTTCTATAAGACATTAATAACATATTGTTAAAGGTTGAGCCTTGTGTGGTTGATCTATATATGTATAAATATTTCCCCGTCAGATTGGTTGCCTTCTACTTTAAACCCAATCAAATGTGGTGTGCTACTCTTGGTATATTTGTAGTGTAAAATACGAGTTGTCCAGGAATAGATTCCCTCATAGGTGAGTTGAGCAGAACTTTGATTCTGCTGAGGGATCGTGGCACTTTCTCCCCATTAGCTGGCTTCACTCTGAGGGCTAAATGAGGAAGGATTATTATATTTCCAAGTACTTCATTTGTTGGATGGGCTCTGCATTTAGGTTAAACGAGACCCTTGGAAGAGCTCCCAAAGGAGTGATGTCTGCATCCGAAATCCACAGTCTAAGCTATAGCTTTATCATTTCCTCCTCATATCAAAATGTAAAATGAGTAGATGGGGTACAATCACAGATTGAGGCATCACCTGCATCCTGCTAAATTTATTGGCAGTGTGTGCAACATTTATTTTCTCTCTGTCAGAAAAATGCACCTTTCTGGTAGTACAAATCAGATTGGGTGGAGTGGTGGATGAAGTCTTAGATTTTTATAAGAAATAAGATTTTTGTTTTGTTTAAGGAGACACACCCAACAGTGCTCAAGGTGTGCTCTGGGTACCATATGGAGTGTTGGGAATCGAATCCAGGATGGGTCACATGCAAGGCAAAAGCTCTACCCACTGTACTATCACAATAATATTAAATATTGTCTTTAAGAGTATATCTGGATATGTTGCGCACAGAGAGATAGGGTGTCTTGTGATGCTTGGGGGGAAAAACACTGAATCCTAAATCAACCCAAAGTCATGAGGCCTTTGAGACTAGGACCCATTTGAGATGTGTGTAACAGTGGAGGTGTGTATGGGGGAAGTATGCTTTAAGATGCAGAATTTCAGCCTCAGATTATGGCTCCAGGAGAGCCCCAGCACTAGAACAGAGGCCATGCTAAGAAAAATCAAAGAAGACCAGCTCTTACCCTTGACAATACCTAGCAACAGATTCGGGGGGAGGGGTGCAGTTTGGGGAAACTATGGTGTGTGTGTGTGTGTGTGTGTGTGTGTGTGTGTGTGTGTGTAATAACTTGACAGAAGCAAAGGTTCACATTTCCTCATTCTGCAGAAGTGTCTAGCATCTATGCCTGAGATAGGTACATTATGGTGTGTATCTTGGGAATTCACTGAGTTCTACTTGGGATGTGTACTTGACCCTCTCTGCTCTGGAGAAGCTTTTACTCTCTCTTAAGCGAGAAACTCTCCCCTCATTTCCCCAGTAAACTTAACCTTACTTCCCTATTCTTCTCCTTTCTGAAATTCTTTACTGCGAGAGCTAGAGACAGATGTGAAGAAAACCTAAGTAGACATTAGGGTTGAATTTTCTTTCCTACAAGGAAAAATGTAGGAAATGCCTTGCTCCAGCCTTACTTCTGTGGGTTGCTGAGAAATAAGGTGACAGGGATCAATTTCCATGCTGCTCAGATCCAGTGTGACTCAGGTGCAGTTTGATGACTATCACGTGAAGGTGGTAAAACAAAAGGTCTGGACAATGATACAGGTGCTTGATGCATTTAGTCCTAAATTCTCCCAGCCCAGCGACCAAAGTGGGTAGAGGGGAAAGTAAGAGAATCCCCTCTCGAGGCTGCCATCTGTCCTCCCTTACTTAACATACATCACAACAGGAGTATTAAGTCTGATTTTTGCTTTTCACTCTAACTCTAGAGAATGTAAGTAAAATAATTGTACATTTCTTAAAAGTGTACTATCCAGGTGGTGTGCTTGTTTCTGTGTATTGAAACACTTATTAAAAATTACTTCTCCCTAAGTAAGGTCAGATTTAGAGGAGGATATAAAGGATGATAACAAGCATTTGTTGTAGGGATTAATTGCCCAATGTCCACTCTCCTTGTTTTTCCTCCCTTTATGCATTCCATTTTATCCATGTTTACTCTTTTGTGGTCTTAGTTTTGTCTAGTACACTAATAACTTCTGCATCATCATCTGCAATCTCTACACCTGTCTCTTCTGATGTCCACTTCCATATATTCAATTGTCTACTGAGCACATCCAAACTGGGTGGTCCTGTTAGCAACTCTGTTTCAATGATTCCAATATTTAAAAGGTAAAATTCATGTCTTCTCCCACATATGTGTTGTAATATCTCCAAATATCCAACTAGTCTAAATAAAAATGTTGTAGCATTAGTTGGAAATGATCACTCTGGACAAGAACAGAGTGTCGAAAGTAGGTAAAGGAATATACATGATAACTTTTCAGCATCTGTATTGAAAACCATAATGCCTAAAATGAGCGATAGAAATAGAGAGAGAACTTGCTTAGCTGGACCTGGACTGAATCTCCAGGCCACGTGGTGGCAGAGGACCCAGGCTGTCCCTCCCTGAGTCCCCACCCACCCAGCAGACTGGCTGTCACTCCCACAATTTGCCTGCAGGCAGCATCTCAGTGCGCCAAGAGCCCTGGCCCAGAGACTCCCAATTGAATCCCAAAATGTTTGGTGCCATACAGAGCTGTCTCTAGAACCCAATCATTTACAATCTAGAAATTTACATTTACAATCATGGCCATGCAATCTCTCTTGATAAGCAATGGAAAATAAATTATTTAGTGTCTGCCCGTGGCAGGTAGGCTTGAATGGTAGTGGGAAATTTCAAGCAAAACATAATGCCCCAAATTAGAGAGAGAGTATTGAGGAAATTATCTGCCATAGAGGCAGGTTGAGGACTGGGATGTGGGTGGTGGAAAATGTGCACTGGTGGAGGAATGGGTGTTTCATCATTATATGGCTGAATCTCAAATATGAAAGCTTTGTAGCTCTCACAATGATACAATTTAAAAAATGTGAAATTAGTGCCCAATTCAATCAGCTTAATCAATGACTGAAAAAATAGCAGCACTCCTACATTATTTTAAAACAAGAAAGAGAGAGGGCAGACAGGGCAAGAGAGAAAGAAAGAAGAGAAGAGAGGTGCCTGCCACAGAGGCAGGCGGGGATTGGGGGTGGGTTTGGGGCATGGGAGGGAATATTGGGGACATTGGTGTATAATCATCAAACAACTAGGAATCGCACAGGCTCTCTCTCTCACCACCTGTGTCTGGTGGTCTCGCGCCACTTCCCCACCCAGGACGGCCGATGCCATGGGTGGACAAAGGAGGAAACAAGGGCCAGGCTGGTTGGTGGGCAGTTGCCATTTATTCCATTTTCCACCACGTGCCTGTTCCAGTCTCACTAAGCCCCTCATTCCCATCTCCTCCTGTCTCCCTTGCTCGGCTCTCTACCCTCTGACTTGCTGCCTGGGTCTCTCTAGTCTCTCTCCAACTCCCCTCATTGGGGTTAGCAACCTGACCCAGATCCAGTAGCACAATCAACATATGAAAGCTCTCCGTTCTAGGGTGAAATACCACCTAGGGTGTGTTTCTCTTTTCCTTAGTCCAATAATCACTTAGTTAACATCTTAATTCTACTTCTTAATTTTAGCTATTTTGTATGGACACAGTAAGAGACACATTAAGCTTGAAGGGTGACTCTCCTGGAGACAACTTGCTATAGATCTCTATAGATCTCAGACTACAGTGCTCAGGCCAGATTAGTCAGTCCTAACGCTAGCAGGGTCCAAATCTAGTTGTTACTTTTTGGATCATGACAGACTTTGTCCATGACCATGCTTGTAACTTATGGTTAAGTATTATGGCACTTTGGCCTGGCCCATTTCCATGCCAGGGTAGCTCACAGCTTGCCCTGGGCCCACCCAGTCCCTTGTCAGGACCCTTCTTTTGGGGTGCTAGGAAGTAAGGAAAACTGAGGCTTAAATCAAGAGAACAGATGCCCCGGAGTGAATATTATTTGGAGTCAGTTAACTCCCAAGTTACAAGAGCATAGCATTAACTGTCTTCCTGTGTCCATACAAAAAGGACATTGCTCTGAATTAACTATGCAAAGGACTTAAGGAGAAGAGAAAAGCAATATTTACAAGTTAACAGACTCTGATTAGGAGATAAAGGTGATTCACAAGTTGGGGAAAGCAGAGCACAAAGAAAGAGGTTACAAATAAACACAGAGGAATGGGAGCACTGTGATGGGAGTAACCCAATAAACCTAATCTCCCTGTGGCAAGGCAGAAAAGACAAACCAATGTTATCCTACAATTGGTATGAGAAATTACACTGGTGGAGGGATGGGTGTTGGAACATTGTATGACTGAAATCCAATTATGAACAGCTTTGTAATGCTCTATCTCACAGTGATTCAATAAAATCTGTCCTATCCTCCTATTGTTCATCGATTTGCTCAATTGGGCCCAGAAACATCTCCATCATGAAACTTGTTGTAATTGTATTTGGCATATCGGATACGTCACGCATAGCTTGCCAGGCTTTT